ATCGTAATGTAAGACCGATCCACTTATTTAAGGACGAAAATTAAAAGAGAAAACCAACGATATGAAAGATATCAAAGACCAAACTTACTATCAGGCGCGGATCTAGACCGTATCGAACGTGGCTCGAGCCACGGTCAGATTTTCCCATCCAGAATTTCCCATCTGCAATCTAATATTCACACATTATTTAGAAGTACATATTAATTCTTTGAATCACACCAAAATTAAGGAAATATATGTCTAAAACAAATAATTTGAGAAATATCTTTCGTAATCGTTGTCAATTATACCAATTCCTGCTAAAGTGGGAACAAATTCCCAATTATTATTCCTTGTTTCATATACGATGTTCAGTTAACACGAACTATAAAATTCGCCGAAAGCTTGCCGAATTGTGCCGAGTATGTTCGGAAGCCAGTCGTGCATTCGAAGCTGCGATCACAGCAACTAGTTGACACGGTCAGCGTGCAGATTATTGCGCAATTGTTACTAAATATAGTAACGCTCGGACACGGTGCAGTGTAGCAAACCAATCACAGGGCAAGCTTTTGCCACGTGAGCCACGGTGCGACACGGTGCGACACGGTGGCCTGTTTTTGATTGCGCAATAAACATGATAAACAATAAAGTTCGACACTTCTCGACTTCGAACTCGGATATAGTTTATACATAACACGTTAAATTGGTCTGTTCGCTGCATCCTGGCTGATTCAGGCTGAATCGAATGCATTAATACATGAATCCGTCGAAATTTCTCAAAAGCAAATCTAAGCGAGCATATTTCAGGGGAAATATCGCTCTTCAGGCTACAACATGATGGAATTATTACTAAAGACAGGCTTCGCTCGCTCGCGTTTACAATCGCAACGACAATTTTTAAACTGCTATTTCCCAAGAGATAAATACTGAAAATCGTTACCCAATGTCCTTGTAAGGTAAGACTTTTAGGTTTTAAATCGAACTATGGGCGCTCTCCTTTATACGGAAAAACGGCCAGACCGGTTCTGTTGTATTTCGGTAGTCGGTACAGACAAAAGTATATCGTTATTTACATCTGCCTAACACGGGAAATGCAGTTTCACCGCTATATTCTTAACGAAATACTCTATTTCAATTTAAAATATGACCGGTCTGACCTTTTTGGCCGCTTAATGGAAAGCGCCCTATGATACAAATTTGCATTTACGCTGTGAATAATTTGTGTATGCAAATTTCACGTTATGTTGAGTGTGAATGAAATATCCGTAAATACCTTACCAAAAATTTTCAAAATGGTTTTGTGGTTTTATGAAAGTACAGGGATTTACAATATTCGCTTTTAAACGTTCCCTGAAGAATATTGTAGAACCAAAGCTCAGAAAATGTTTGTTTCGGAGGGTCCATAGCCCCTTCGCCATACGCCCCCCCCCCCCCGACCGGAAAATTTCTAGTCCTATATGACACGGTCAGATTTTCGGCTGGATCCGCGCCTGACTATATATATTACTAGTAAAGTATAGCATAGTAATTTTGAGCGATTTGTCAACAATTCAATTTCGTTTGTCTTTCAAACGTCATAAATCGCTGCGAATACTCTTATTTAGTAATATATTTAAGACCTGTAAGTATAATATCTTACGCTGAATCGAATGGTGGCATTTTTGTCCTTCTTGGGTGCATAAAAGCAGAGATGCACGCAATTATCAGAGTTTGAGATTGAAATTGAAAAAAGAACGTTCCCTTAAAAAAGGAATTTGGCAAACGTACAACAAGATTAATAGTAATAATTAGGAAAAAATTTCAAGCATTCTAAGCATGTGCAAGGAATTTTTACTAGGCGATTAAGGAAACGTATTGATGCGAACAAACAAACTCACAGGCAGAATATAATGCGCTGCCAAACTTGGCGCGGGCACCGCAATTTGGTAATAATAGAACAATATTGCATTTTTTGAATAGATTTTGCTTGAAACGAGTAAATCAAATGTAGAAGAGTTGAGTTCTACTGAATGACACTAAACTTGCAAGTCAGACAGTAAATATCCTTCTCGCGAAAGGTTAAAGCAGCTTTAGCTCAACTTGATCTTTTCACTTCCTGGTTCGAATAGCTTTATATACAACGGGGAGTGCAATTTTTATGCTTACAATAATAACAAAATGTTGTTACTGGTGCACCCAACCACCGTGAAGAGCCTGTTTACATAGAGCGAATTATCCCGGCTAGGCGAGGTAAAAAGCGCATTACAGCAATAGCTTAACCTGATTAGTCTTTCATTATACGCAGTTTTCAAAATATATAAGGAAATGCAAACATACCGTGTTCACTTGTGGTCAGTGCAAAGCGTGTTCCAACATTGAGTATTATTAAGATGATGCATTGAAAACTCGCAGATATTTGCCTCGTTGAATGTGAAATCGTCATGTTTCCCCGATACTCGTTCTGCACTGCGGTTCTGTGGTGTTCTTCCTTCAGGTGCTAAAATAACTGCTTGTCTCTGTCTCTGTTTTCATTATGAATATGAAATGTTTGCATGCATAATTGCCTCTTTATTGTAATGAATTTCATTATCTCGGTAAGCTAGTCACTTTTCAATCGTGTCTATATCAAGGGGACTGGGTGGGCTCCGAAGCGAAGCATAACATATTCTTATGAAATGACAAGAGTTCAATTGATACAGGGTGTATAAAAAAACGCAACCTTAATAATTCCCAGGGGCCTACGAAATTTTGTTATTGAATAGAAGCGAACATGTATGAATATTAAGTGGGTTAATACGTAGACCCTGTTTATGAAGAGAAAAATCATTATATAAAAATAATAAACAATTATTTTTGTATATTAAATCGTTTTTAAGAACTCTATACGAAATGAGATGAGGTGAAATAGGAACGGTCTGTATAATCAACAAGCTCTGGGGTGTTAAAACAGGTAGCCGTCTATTTCGTTTGTACTTTTCGCATTTGCCGTAAAGATGCGGTTTACCGGTTTGTCATTTTGCGGAGACATAAAAAAATATGAAAGATGTTACACCGTCGCTTTAACTGTTAAATGCTTTTTCAAAGTGTTGTTTTAATTATAATTCTAATGAAAAAATGTCAGTTCAATGCTTTTAAGGGTCGACTTCATTAAATATTAACGTACGAAAATTAACAGTTTGAATTTTTAGCAGTCACTTAAGCTGCTTGAGAGTGCATAAAATGCCTGCATGCTTTATAAATAATGAAAAACAGGTATTGTTTACTGCTTTTTTAAAAATATACATACTATAAAAATGGCAATTAGTATGGATATTGTAAACTTCAGTATTATTTCAAACTACCAACCGTACTATGTCCATAACATGGATTTTGAAAAAAAAATTCCAGTGATATAATGTCATGTATGGTCATATGGCTGTTTTGTATACTGAATTATTTAAATATATTCCAATGCATTTGAGTCACTTCATATAGTATAAGCTCAGGCCTGGGTAACTTAGGAAATTATTTTCTTGTTTTAAAAGAGAGGGTGAATCCCGCGTGTATTTTATTATCTCAATGGGCAGCCCAGTCGTGAATTGTTTATTTGAAGTAAGACACTAAAAATTATCGATACCTTAATTAACATATATGACATAAATGGCGCCAATTTTACTTGGCAAAGAAGCTACTAAAATCTTCGTCGTCGGTGATAATGTTCTTCTGTTGCTTTATAATTTATACACTGCAGGTACCGTGCATGTGAACGGAACTTGTATTACACTCATTTATTTATAGTATAACTATATATAACTATATATACGTACTATAAATATACTATAGTTATACTATAAATAAATGTGTGTAATACAAGTTGCGTTCACACGGTACCTGCAGTGCATGGAGTCTGAGCCATGAATAAATATACCAAATCTATCAATTATAATAAGCATTTACTAATAATCGTATGCCAAAGATAGCCGAAATTGAAGTGGTAGCTAAGGTACATACGAAATTTTCAATCCTCTTTATGTGCATGTCAAGTAAATTCATATTTTTGATATGTTTTTTTGCTTTTTTCTTTGTGCGTGAAAAATGAGAGAAATGCAGATCGCTAACGTTGTCAACGCTAACGCTCATCAGAAATGCAAAATGCAAACGTTGAACGCCAATGTTTCGTATTGGAATAGTATAATTATATTTTAATTAAATTTAGCAAGGAAGTAAATTTCACAGCTGGAGATCTGTTTAAAGAATCGTGAATAAATCATTAATTTCTATAGCTTAGACTCTTTCTTGACTTATTCTTGTTTTATTAAACGGCTACGTTTTAACTACAGAGACGCTCGTGCCCTGGTTTTGCCATGACTAACGTGTCAATCTTTTTGCCATAGTTCGCTTGTAATTTCGAAAGGCCGTTCCACTCAAACGAGTTTCACTGGTCTGTTGTTTCACCTTTTTGACAAAAACAACTTTGTGACCTGTTGCCATGCAGGCCGCGAGTCTTGTGGACGTGGCATAGACAGGATGTATACAAAAAAGAAATAAAGCTGACTATAAGAAGACCATGTGGGTTAAAGAACTTAACCGAACCTAATGTTAATAAGCTACTCGGCACATGAAAAGTTCGATGTCTAAAACGGGTCTTAAATAATGGAAATAGTGTCACTCAAAGTTTTTAAATTATTTCTACGTTATCTTGATATTTACTGAAGCATGATATCCTAAAAGACATAAAGCCTAGCTGTTTTACTTTAAAACTGTATTAAAAATCCACAAAATTCTATCTCAACTCTGTCCATCTTAAACTCTTTAACCAAAAAATAATTTACTGTTTATTATATGTAGAGTTCAATTTAATAACTTCAGTGATACAAGTAAATTTTAGTTAATAACTCTATAGTGATACACGCAGAATTCAATTAATAACTCTAGTTTTACAAGTAAATTTTAGTTAATAACTCTAGTTATACATGCAGAATTCATTTAATAACTCTAGTTATACAAGTAAATTTTAGTTAATAACTCTAGTTATACACGCAGAATTCATTTAATAACTCTAGTTATAGCTACACGCAGAATTCATTTAATAACTCTAGTTATACACGCAGAATTCATTTAATAACTCTAGTTATACACGCAGAATTCATTTAATAACTCTAGTTACAAGTAAATTTTTATACAAGCAGACTTCATTTAATAACTCTATTTATACAAGTAGAGTTAAGTAAATAACTCCAGTGGTACAAGCTAGTAGATCTTTGTTAATAACTCAATGCAAACATAGTTCAGCGAATATCTCCAGTTATACAGGTATAGAGTTCAGTTTCTTATCCCTTCGATGTCTTACTGTTGATTGGGCGCGTTCTTCTGCCCAGACTGTGTCGTCATCACAAGATCTTCATTGCGCAAATCGTGAACTCGATAAACGACATAAACCTTGTGGCCAAAGAGACCAAACAGCGTCACCAAACCAATGATGACGTAAACCCCCGAAACCAGAGTTGCGTGAATGTCGCGGTGACTCGAGTTGAGATAAAATGGAAAGAAGATCACCCACACTGCGCATGTCACGTACATCGTAACGCCGATGTACTTGGATTCGTTGAAATTCTTTGGAAACTCTCTGGTCTTGAAGGCATAAACCGTACACAGGAGCATTAGGATCATCACGAAAGATAAGTTTCCGGCGAAGCCGAACGAATCAGCAGTGCACTCCAACACGAGCTCGCTGCTATCGCTATAGTAGATCTCTTCAGCCTTGACTGGTTTGGCCGTCATCCACAACGTCGTGAACAGCAGCTGCACCGTGACAAGACCAAAAGTGATCAAAATTTGCATATGGGGCGTCACCAATGTCGGGCGCGCGATCGTCGATTTCGCGCTCGTGAAAATGCGATATATTCTGTTGACTTTCATGAATAACGGCGCGTAACACATGGCGAGTGCTAGGCCAGTGAACACGTTACGTGTGTAGCAAACAGAATCTGCTGGCTTCGCGATAAACAGAACGGGTACTAGGAAACACATGGCGATTCCAGCCAGCATGACAAAGCAAAGTTCTCTTCCGGTCGCTTTCAGCAAACGATTATCTTTGTGCACGATATACATTATGGTAACACCCAATGTTAGCAACAGTGCAACGACAGAGAAGAACATCATTGCTATAGACCAGTCATCACTCAAATTTTGATAGACCAGTTCTCGTTTCACCCAGCCGGTTCTGTTGGAGTTTGGTACCCATCCTTCTGGACCATCGTTACAACTGTTGTTCACGACGATCTGTAATTTGCTGCAAGTTTTGCACTTCCAACAGCACTTGAAGTCAAATGTGTGTATTGCCATTTTAGTTTGATCAGAAAAGCAGTTCTCAGAGCAGTACGAAGCAGGTGGACTGCTCTCCCCCTTTAGCCACGATATATTTCTGTCAAGTACGAGCTTTGAAACGATTTGACCGTCGACTATCTCCCCGTCCCAGGTCCCCACGCGCACGTATTTTCCGACGCCATCTTGTTTTCTAAAATTGATGATGTCGTACATGCCACTGACCTCGTAATTCTTGTCAAATTTCACAGTTGTGTTCACCAACGGATCCCAAAATGTTACATTCTTAAGATGTTCCAAAAGCCTTGTGCGGTCAAACTTTGCCATATTCGGGCAAACTCCCGTCTGATTAGGGCAGAGCTCTTTTTGCAGGCTGTCCAAGGCGAGGGCGTAAGCTTTCACGGCATTAATGACGACCCTTACTGGACTGTATTGGATGGCGACATTCTTCAGCGGCTCGTTGCCATAGCAATTTCTGTCGTACAACCCAAACCTCGATCTGTTGGGTCGCGTCAACTTGCACTTAAAACGATTTTCCCAGAATTCGTGAAAGAATCTGAAAATTGGAATAATTTAAGTATGCAGTTTAGACTTCAGACGATTGGATTGTCACGTCTTTAATTTTACTGTGTACATGTATTTACAATGCTAATTTGATTGTAGAGTGCAAACAGACCCAAACGGTAAATCCTATTATTTGTCAGGGTGTTTAACGCCATTTTCGTTCGCTCTACGTGAAAATGGGACAAAGTTTATGTTGAAAAAATGCGAAATTTGAGCAATTTTTGACGTCCCTCTTGTGGATTTTCTGTATGCATAGAAACCGCTGTAATCCCCCTAGTGGGTACCTAAACTCGCAACACCTTCCTGCTTATATATGTCCTACTGCGCATGCCCAACATACCTTTTGTTCCTCAGTGGATAATTTGTCAAATTAAAACTGGAAAAATGTTCTTTAAATTTCTCCGGGACTGTCCCAGTTCTCATCATGATAGTCAGAGCTCCTAGGGCGGCCTCTTCTGCAGTTTCAACGACTTCGTGTCGATTACTCCAGCCGTCGCTTCCTATCCACGTAAAATGTCGTGGTGCACGTGAGGAGAACTTCAGCGCAGCCTCTAACAAACGTCGTACCACAGTCTGTGTGCCAAAAACCACGATTACGGACACCTTGCTTTGCTCGGCTCTTTTGAATATCTTCCTAATCTTGTCTTCGTAATCAGCTATTGTAGGAAATGCACTAGTGAAGCTTTCTTTTATGTCAATACAGATGCCATTTCTTTCAGCAGCCTTCCAGAATTCTTCCATGCCTTTTGTCCCATACGTTCCAGCAGAATTAACAGTCGCGACGTAGTTCCAACCGAATTTCTTTATGATGTCAACCATCGCTTGGGCTTGGAACGTGTCCGGGGCAACGACTCTTAGGAAATAGCTGTAGATGTCTTTATTGCTTAGGGTTATGCTCGTGGAAGAGTAGCTTATCTGTGGTATTTCATAAACCCGTAGAAAATTAGCAACCGTCTCGGAAACCCCGCTACTCAGAGCTCCTATAACCCCAGCAAGTTGGTCAGCACTCTCGCGATTCAAAGTTGCTTTTATGAATTGCTTCGCCGCGTCATTTGCAATGGTTTTGCTTTGACACGTGTCGTATATCTGCGCCCCAAGGCTGATGTTTTGTAAAATATCTGGATCATTATTCACTTCCTCGATCGCGAACAGCATCGCCGACATGTACTGATATCCCGGAACCTCGCTGAAATTTCCGCAGGCATTTTCGTTTTCGGTACTTTTCTTGTGAAGTGGAAACAGCCCACCTATAATGATGTCACCCGGCACTTCGATTGCACCTGTAGATATTTAAAGATTAAAAAAAGTACCTGACTGAATTTTCTGTGATTATATCAAATTAGTTTTGTATTGTTATATTATGTTTGCCGGGAAATTCTCGACCAAACTGGCGAACGAGAGAGATATTGTTTTTGACACGAGAACATAAAATCCATATATTCGAGCGAACCGTGTAATGTTCTGTTTATTATATGGACCAAATTCAGGGTGACAAAAATACACAGAAAGACAACAGGTAAATAAGCCACGAAAGACCACTATAAAAGCGAATAGTTTTTAAATTATAGCCTAAACGCTAAAGTAGAATACGTTTTACATATCTAATTGTTTTCGTTTGTATATCCAACGTTAATTTCGCGTTAGGAGTTTTCTTGTTTTGCAAGCGCATCGTCGAGCTTGCATGCCGCGTCGTGAATCGTAAACTCCCTAATTTAGTAATTATAGTCGCAGAAGGCGAAGTGAATATATGCGCTGAAGACGAAGTGAATATATGAGCCGAAGGCGAAGTGAATTTAGGCTTGTAATCAACGAGCCTGAGGCGACTAATTGTTTTAGACTTCCAGGTGTTTACAAATAAGAATCAACACAGTTTTATAAAAAATTATAATTATATTTCAAATACTCATTTGAAAAACAACAACAGAAAGCTATAGTCACTCTTCGGAGACAGTGAATCTGGGTAACCGGAATGCAGGAAAATCAATAGTCACCTCAAAATTTATACTGAACAGACAACGATTCAATGATATATCTAATTTCAGTATTTGTTAAATCCAAAGCATTGCATAGGGATAAAAGGGAGCGAGGCAGTTTTGTTTTCAAATACATAAACAATTCCAATTTGACTATTGAGAAAAGATTGGACTTCGGGCGTTGAGTGACAGTTTTATTTAGACAGTATATTTAATATGATTCGACTAACATGTAGTTATATTTTAGCAAATTATTGGTTTGTATTATATTTTGATCGATGCACTATATTGATTACGCATGCAAATGATGCAATAAGCGGAACAATAATTCAAACGTAATAATATATTCATGCAGTAATAATCAAGGATGCAACTTGTTTAACTTGAGTTGTTTTTGAGCAAAATTTCTCCGAGTTTTTATGTTATATAGCACGTTTGGGCGAAACGTTTGCAATCCTTGGGATTAATCCGTTTCTCTGCTCAACTGTGACATTTTCAATTCCCTCGACGAAAATTATATTAACAAGCACCTGTTTTGTGTCCACAACGTGAGTGTTTGCATGACAAGAAACGTGAAGCGTTTGTGCAGAATATATACAATATATATACAATATATATACATAATATAGCATTAATATCAATTCTATTTCCATCCCACCAATCAAGTATTGCTTGACCACGCGTTTTTTACAAACGTGCATTTACACTTGCGATCATTAAATTGAATCATTTATGGTTGGTTATGCGAATTTTTACTCGTGTTAAACAATTCTATTACGATTGTAATAAATGAATTTCGAATAGATTTTTCTTAGAACTAGAATTGAATTGTTGGAGAGTTGAGTTTTGGTTAATGACACTAAACAGATAGTTTTGAATATTCTCGCCTTAAACTTAAGTTTAAACCATAACTAGCTCAATTCATACTTAATTTGATCCCTTGAGCTTCCTGGCTCAACTAGCTTTTTCAACAACGTAGCATTTGTTATGTTTAAAATGACTACAAATGTGGCTGCTGAACTCAACCAATCTAAGGACATAAATTATCCCTAAGAAAAATTAGAAAAAAATATCTAATGAAACGGAAACTTACCGTTCTTACTCAAAGTCAGTGTATATCGTATTCCAAGATTGATTATTAGTAAGATGATGCATTGGGAACTGGCAGATATTCGCCTCGTTGATTGTGAAGTCGTCATGTTTTTACTGAACCTATTCAAAAGTTGATTACGACTTGTAACAGTAATTATGAGTTATGATCATTCATCTCAGTCATGAGTGCTCAACATTTATTTGACGTCATACGATGTTTTTCAACGTCTTCATATTTCTGATTGGCTGTTCAGAGTTCGAAAAGTGCTTGCCACTCTCTATTTGGGGTTAATGTGACTATCCCATGCCTATTGTAAAAGCTGTGTTCCTATTGGTTAAGAGCAGGTGCGTTCAAACTCGAACCCACCTGCCGAACCCAATAAAGTTTCCAGCGTACCCAGGACCTTTAGGCAGCGCTTGACAGAAATAAAAAGCTCTGAAAAATCCCTCAGTTAAATGTCAATTTTTTTTACGTGCGAAGTTAAAATTGTCAAAATGACGATTTTTGAAAGGTTCAGCACGAATGTCTTTTGCTGATCTTTTATACAAAATTTCTATTTCCATGCAAGGCGATAATCAAAGTGTACCAGGGGCCGGTTGTATGAAAGCCGGATAGTGATTTTTTCAACCGTTCTAAAAATTCTCGAAAAGCGATAAAATTTCAGCTTGGAAGCAACAATTATTAAAGAGGATCTTCGATTTAGGAATACTAAGATTTAATCAAAGTTGTAGCAATAAATAACGGGCGATTTTGAAGCGATTGAAAAAACCACTATCCGGTGGATAGCGCTATCCGGCTTTCATACAACCGGCCCCAGAACTTTATCTTTTTAAGACTTAGCAAATCATGGAGAATTTAGCAAATTCACCTCTAACAAACTGTATAAATGAGCAAATCCACGAAATGAACATTTTTATTGAAGTGCGTTTCAAATTTGGTTGTGTTTCGTGTTTGTAAAATGCACCAGAACTTTCGATTGTTGTTTTTAAGGGCCAGCAACAGTGTTTATTTTTTATCTCATATCGACGAAGTGTCATTCAGCGCTGTCTAATAAACCTACGTTGTCTGAATGTTTATTTTTGCCCATCATTCATCAAAGTAAATTTTTGATCCCGGACATGTGTGTTGGGAAGCTTGTTGATTGAATAAAGTGTCACTCAGAACTTTATTAATATTTCTACGTTGTATTAGTTTATTAAGTATGATCGCTCAAAACCGTACAAAAATATCTCTAGAAAAGTTATTTCAAATAGCCCATCCATCCATAAAACCCTTAATCTGAAAAAAAAATTAATTATGTGTTATGCAGAGTTCAGTTCATAATTCTACTGTAGTTATGCAAACATAGTTCTGTGAATAACTCTCGTTATACATTTAGAATTCAGTTTCCTGTCGATGTCTTACTGTTTTCTGGTTGATTGAGCGCGCTTTTATGCCCAGACCGTGTCGTCATCACAAGATCTTCATCGCGAATATGGTGAACTCGATAAACGACATAAACCTTTTTGCCAAAGAGACCAAACAGTGTCGCCAAACCAATGATGACGTAAACCCCCGAAACCAAAACCGCGTGAATATTGCGGTGACCAGCGTTGAGATAGAATGGAAAGAAGGTCACCCACACTGCGCATGTCACGTACATCGTAACGCCGATGTACTTGGATTCGTTGAAATTCTTTGGAAACTTTCTGGTCTTGAAGGCATAAACCGTACACAGGAGCATTAGGATCATCACGTAAGATAAGTTTCCGGCGAAGCCGAACGAATCAGCAGTGCACTCCAACACGAGCTCGTTGCTATCGCTATAGTAGATCTCTTGAGCCTTCACTGGTTTGGCCGTCATCCACAACGTCGTGAACAGCAGCTGCACCGTGACAAGGCCGGAAGTGATCAAAATTTGCATACCGGGCGTCACCAATGCCGGGCGCGCGATCTTTGATTTCCCGCTCGTGAAAATGCGATATATTCTGTTGACTTTCATGAATAATGGCGCATAACACATGGCGAGTGCTAGGCCAGTGAACACGTTACGTGTGTAACAAACAGAATCTGCTGGCTTCGCAATAAACAGAAAAGGTACTAGGAAACACATGGCGATTCCAGCCAGCATGACAAAGCAAAGTTCTCTTCCGGTGGCTTTCAGCAAACGATTATCTTTGTGCACGATATACATTATGATAACACCCAATGTTAGCAACAGTGCAACGACAGAGAAGAATATCATTGTTATGGACCAGTCATCACTCAAATTTTGAAAGACCAGTTCTCGTTTCACCCAGCCGGTTCTGTCGGAGTTTGGTACCCATCCTTCTGGACCATCCTTACAACTGTTGTTCACGACGATCTGTAATTGACTGCAAGTTTTGCACTTCCAACAGCATTTGAAGTCAAATGTGTGTCTTGCCATTTTAGTTTGATCAGAAAAGCAGTTCTCAGAGCAGTACGAAGCAGGTGGACTGCTCTCCCCCTTTAGCCACGATATATTTCGTTCAAGTACGAACTTTGAAACGATTTGACCGTCGACTATCTCCCCGTCCCAGGTCCCCACGCGCACGTATTTTCCAACGCCATCTTGTTTTCTGAAATTCGTGATGTCGTACATGCCACTGACCTCGTAATTCTTGTCAAATTTCACAGTTGTGTTCGCCAACGGATCCCAAAATGTTACATTCTTAAGATGTTCCAAAAGCCTTGTGCGGTCAAACCTTGCCATATTGGGGCAAACTCCCTTCTGATTAGGGCAGAGCTCTTTTTGCAGGCTGTCCAAGGCGAGGGCGTAAACTTTGACAGCATTGATGACGACTCTTACTGGACTGTAGTCGATGGCGA